AGTCCCACTTCTAGAAAATCCATTTCTTGAAAGATTGGAATCTCCCAGAGTCGTGATTTTCGTCAAAATCATGATTTTGTGCAAAGTCTCCTGAGCGATAAGAACTATGTAGAAAGTTGATTTTTTTACTTGACTAAGTGCTCACTGAGATCTCGCGATAGCCAAAATTTCAATTCTCTAACATCATCCTTCGTGAAATAGATATATACACAACATGCCGAAAAATAATCATTTTGCCGTGTAGTTGGTAGTATTGGGCAACTCATCAACAGTACATCCAGTTGAGGTTAATTTTTTTCCGATCATAGAGGATCATGATATCCACTGACAGTAAAAAGTTCAAGTCAACTACATGTATCCTTGATGAGATATAAATATCACAAAAAAACACCAAAAAAATGCGCTTTTTGATTGATAGTGCCCTCAGAAAAATTGAAATATCTCAACAATTGAACAATATTTTTTTAAACAGCTTGCGTCAAAATTCTCAGAACTCTTGTCTCTACAACATATATTGAATTGAATAAAATCGGACGACCTCGATCGAGCAAGTTCTGTGGCAATCGGTCGTGGTTTACATAGACTGGCTCATATGTATATACTATGTTACTTTTTGATTTTTCATCTGATTGCCTCGCAGTCATTGTTTCAATATTTTCTTGTTGCTGCCATAATTTCTCGTAATTGTTGAGTAAAAATTGTTCATGTTTCTCTATTAAATGTTTGAGAAAAAACTTTTTTACACATTTAAAATCTTGACATTCTGGATCAAGACAAGTGATTGGACTATATTCACAATGAACAGCTAGATGATTAGCTAGATTTGAACGACTAACTTTAACTGTACAGCCATCATTTGGACACGATACAACCAAATCACCAATAAGACGACGAGCAAAATAAGCGGGAACAGTTTCATAATGTTTAGTACGACAAACAGGACATTCTTGGACATTTTCAATGCAAGGTAAACAAAACAGTTGATGACAACAAGTTGTTTCTACTGCATTATCTACTGAAGCTATATCCAGACAAATTGCACACGTGAGCGAAAGACTTTGATTATCGTCATCGGCCATTTTTAATTCTATAAAAAGTATTACATAGACTATGTTGCTAAAATATGTGTAACCTAAGAGAGAAATATAACCAAAGCAGTGGCAAACGAAAGAAAAAAATTTTTTTTTTCACGCTATACGTTTCTTGATTGTACGAAAGAATCTCAGTTTTTTTGCAACATGTTGATGTTATTAAAAGAAAAAAGCAAATGAAAGATAAAAACTACACAAACGAACAGCAAACAGAACAGAATGACAAACGAATGGCGAGGTAATAAAAATTGCATTAGTATATACACGTGGAAGATACAATGAAAAAAAAGTCAACAATCAACATTCTTGGATTTGACTGATGTTAAGTGAATTTTGAATTCGTAATGCATATTACAGTATCCTCACGTGTTTTCATACTATTCAATACTTATATTCATAGTATATATATGAGGTTGCTAGATCTAAGCAATGCTACTGCTAAAAAGAGAAAAATAACATGAAAATTCAGAGAAATTTTTGATTACTTGTTTAAAAAATAATAAGCGATGCATAAAGATTAATAGTGTTAGTTTCTTTTTAAAGTTTTCCACTTCATCGGC